TGATATTCATAAACTTCAAAAATGCAACAAAACTGACGAAGTCACATGAAAGTGAAAGGTTAAAATAAAAACACTTAGAAGAATTAGTTCTACCTTTTGTTTCATATTATTGACGTTTCCCATGTCGTCTTCTGCATATCTTTACTCACAGGGTGTCTGAATGCCTGAATGGATCAATGTACAGATTCATTATTGTAGAATCATAGAATCATAAAATGGATTGGGTTGAAAGGGATCTTTAAGATCACCTAGTACCAACCTCCTGCTGTAGGCAGGGACACCTCCCACTAGACCCGATTGATCAAAGTCCCATCCTGCTTTGCAGCATCTGAGGCACGGACTCAGATGTGAACGCTCCGTTTCGTTTCGTTTCGCATAGTATCATACTGTATAAAATAAAAAGACTAAAAGATATTCTTTTTGTTATTCCTTTTGTTTTATTTTGTCTTTTACAGGTTCTCACATCCTCTCAAATCCCACATTTCTCTTCCAACTTCGTCTCCCCTCTTCCCCTTCCCCCCGCTTTACATGTCAACAAAACATTCCACAAACAAACACTACTTAACTGTACCTGCAAGCGCTTATCCAATCAGTCATGAGTCACTCCTTGCCAGTGTGCCAGAATACTTCCAAGGGAAGGGACATTCATGACCTGACTGAGTAACCTGTTCCAGTGTCTCACCACTCTCACAGTAAATAATTTCTCCCTAATATCCAATCTAAATCTACCCTCCCTCTTAAAAGCATTTCTCCTTGTCCTGTTGCTATCTGCCCTTATAAAAAGTCCTTCCCCAGCTTTCCTGAAAACTAAATTAATGTGTACGTGACATAAAATGATATTACCATATGTTATGGATCTAGAGTAGAATTTTTTGCTCACATACAGAGCAAGTGAGCAGTACATACAGCTTGATTCCACCATATTCCTATTGGCACATATTCATCACTAGCTCTGGAAGTCTGAATCTGTGGCTAACACGCTAACCTTATTGGTAGCTTTATCAAGTATAGCTGTTGATGGATCCTTCTTCCATTGTCTAAAGAAGGTGTCACGATCACAGGATTTGATCATCCCGCTTTGAGACTTCAAGTACCCGCTGTTCTACAATGCAAGCAAGCTGATTGGTGACATCAGTATTGGAGGCTTCCTGGGCAATGGACTTGATGGTTGGACTGTTCCATAGATGAGAAACTGGTGGCAAGGTAGTTAAAGGGCGGTGATGGCAGTGTCTGTGTGGAATCTGCTGACAAGTCCCTCAGGAGTCAGTACTGGGACTGATGCTTTTTATTATCTCTTACCAATGATATGGACAGTAGGATTAAGTGCACCCTCAGCAAGGTCGTGGATTACATGAAGCTGTGTGGTATGGTCAACATGTCTGAGGGACAGGATGCCATCCAGAGAGACCTAGACAGGCTTGAGCAGTGGGTCCAGGTAAACTTCATGAGGTTCATCAAATCCAAGTACAGGATCTCGCACCTGAGTTGTGGCAACCCCTGCTATTAGGACAAGCTGAAGGATATAAGGACAGAGAACAGCCCTGCCAAAAAGGTCTTGAGGGTACTGGTGGATAACAAGCTGGGCACAAGCCAGCAATGTGCCCTCTTAGCCCAGAAAGCCAAGCTTGGGCTGCATCAAAAGAAGCATGATCAGCAGGTTAACAGAAGTGATCTTGCCCCTCTGCTCTGTGCTAGTGAGACTTAACCTGGAGTGATGTCCAAATGTGGAGTCCTCAGAATAGGAAAGACACAGACTTGTTGGATGTTTTCCAACATCCAGAGGTAGATAACAAAAATGATCCACAGAACGGAACACCTCTCCTGCGAGGACAGACTGGAAGAGCTGGGGCTGTTTAGCCTGGAGAGGAGAAGGCAAGGCTCAGGGAGACCTAATAGTAGCCTTTCAGTATCTAAACAGAGACTATAAAAAAGAAAGGGACAGACTCCTTGGGGGGGGAGGGGGTTCTGTGGTTGTGGTACAAGGTGAAATGATTTCAAACTATAATATGGGAGATTTAGATTGGATAGAAGGAAGAACTTTTTTTTTTTTTTTTTTTTTTAAAACAGTAAAGGTGGTGAGGCATGGGATCACGTTGTCTAAAGGGGTAGCAGATGCTCTGTCCTTGGAGATATTCAAGATCAGGCTGGACCATGCTCTGAGTAACTTGATGTAGCTGTGGATGTTCATTGCAGGGGAGTTGCACTAGATGACCTTTAAGGCTTCCTATCAACTCAAGAAATTCTATGATTCTGTGGTTCTCTGATTCATATTAACAAGATGTTCAAAATTTCCCTATACGTGAAATTAGTTGTGAAAATGTAGCCTAAGGAGTAGAAGAAAAAAAAAAAAAAAGATTTAGCCAAAGATTAAAAAACATCAGGGAAAATTATATGGTATCTCTGCTTCAAATTTAACAGTGAAGTAAAATTATATTCTAAATATAAGCATTTTAATTTCTGCATAAACAAATGCAGATAAAATTTGTCACAAGTTGAACTTCAATATGGAATAATTATAATGCATTAAAGTTCTTATGATTGTTTTTTCTTCTTATTTTCATACTAATTAAAATAACACAAAATGGGATTTTAAGCTAATTTGTTCTGCTCATGCTCAAGTAGTAGTAGCTACTTATTCCATAGAAGTATGAGGGGAAGGTGAACTGATGTAGCAGTAATACTAATACACCCTTGTATAGCCTATTTTTTTTTTTTTTTTCATTAGTTGCTTGAATATTCTGTCAATATGAAACTGTCTGAAGAGTTCATGTACTAAGACACTTAACTGCTGGTTTTCTTTTTTTTTTTTCCTCCAAACTCTGACCATGCTAAACCACTTAATACTACATGAGACCTCACGTAGAAACATCATGCTGTCCTTCTAAGAAAGTGAATACATTTGTTACCAAACTTGTGAAGGTGCCTTAATGTTTAAAGGCAAAGATAAGCAAGACATAGTGAAAATCATAATGGATTTGGTACATGCTGCATGTCACTGAAGTTAATGCTTTGTACAGTAGGATCCTGGAGAGATCTGTCTTTCTTCTTACCATGTTTACTTTTTCTTTAGCTGTGATTTTCTAGCTTTTGTCCAAGAAATATTAAGTGGTACATTGGTGTTTCAGAATTTGGTTTACAATTAATCAATTTACAATATATTCATATACCTGTGTATCCCAGAAAACATTATATATTTCCTCTCTCGATATGCAAGGCAGGAACTTTTGCACATCCTTCCACAAAATATCCTTCAAAATAGCTATGTTGATTACATATAGAAACATGTATTTTATGAAATAAATTATGATTACTATTAACAACCTTATTTTAATCCTGTTAGTACTGAAGTTTTCTTTACACTTAACAGAAAATATTTCCAATTTGAAAGTAAAGAGATTGACAGAGCTTCAGCTTTGAAACAGCTTCAGCTGTTTTGTTTTTCTTCTCTCAATGCTACGTTTAGTGATAAGAAGCCTAAATGTGATAGAATTACCTTTCTTTAAAAGGGTGATGATTCTTTCAATCCTTATTTCTTTCTGTAAATTGTGTGTTGGTCCAGTGATTACCTGCAGTCATGCAACAAATTTGGGAGGGTCACTGATAAATATATGGGTTATCAGAATGTCAGCTGCTTACTGTGTCTTCTGACCATCTTGTATAAATCTGGGGGAACAGGACGGCAGTGGTAAGAAAAAGTCAGATAACAAAGAGAAACTTGCATGATGCTACTAGACAGGTTTACAGTTTCCATCTTATATTGAAAGCTTCATGTGACACAAAAGATGGAAAAAAGGTAAAATATTCAGTATTACGGCTATTGTATTGTTTTGGTATTACAATATAAGGTGGCTTTTCTGTGGCATTGTGTGGTGAAGTAGAGGACTTTTTGAGTCTTCAATCCCATGTGATAAACTATTAAGATGTGTAGATTTCTCTTCCTGCGACAACAAACATTTACATGAAGAAAAGTGTGAGTTTATCTAACAGCTGGTCTATATTACTTTCAACAGAAAGACCAATCTAATCTCAATCCTTTTACAGTCTAAAATGATATTCCAAGCACAGCAAAATGAAACCAGAAGTGGTAGTTTCTTAAAATTTATATTACACTTTCACATTTTTATATCATTTTATTTTCCTGTACTCCAACTTATCCCTGTGATACATAATTTATAGATATTAAATTATTTGGAGTCAATGGTGATATTAGTGTAAGATATTATAAAAGAGATTTTGTTAAAAAATAGCAGGTTTGTGGGCTCTCTTATTGAAAAGGATGGTTCTTTGAATTCGTATCATTTTATTTCACCTTTTAATAAAAAGCTTATCAGCAGGAGTTTTTTTTTTTTTAAACTTTGTATAATGTAACAAAGGAAGATTGCTGCTATTGTGTATTCGTAGGTGCTCTTTTAGCAAGCATGAAGTCTTGTAGGAGAACTATAGGCTACGAGAGGAGCGATGCATATTATTTAGATAAAATTTACCCCAAAGTCACATTACAAATAAACCCAGGAAGTCTGAAAACTCTAAGAACCGCTGAATATACTTATATTTTTGTAGTGATGCTTTGATAGTCAACTGTTTAGTGCTTTGCAAGGAGGTAAATGGCTCTGTTTTGCTCTGTACCAAAGACAATGCAAGTTTAATTGCCAACTTTAATGCAAATAAATAAATGAATAAATAAAACACAGTCTAGTTGATAGTTACATATGTACTTAGATTTTAATCTCATTATAGAAACCAAAGCAATGTTGCTAAGCCTTCTCTTATTTATGTTCCAGCCTTCATCTGTAAGACTCCTATATAGCTGAATTAATGTTTACACATCTGAAATACTCAGTTAATTGAGAAGTCCAGTCAGAGAATAATCCTCTCTGCTTGTTTTTTTCTGAAGAATTATTTATAAAAAGATCTTTCAATGTTTCATGGAGTTTTGCTTTTAAAAAAAAAAAACAAAAAAAACAAACAAGAATGCATATGTTATTAATTCTTTTTCTCAGGCTGCCTAGAATTGAAAGAGGACACTATTGAAAATCTTCTAGCAGCTGCCTGCCTCCTCCAGCTCCCACAAGTAGTAGAGGTTTGCTGCCATTTTCTAATGAAGCTTTTGCACCCATCCAACTGTTTGGGAATACGAGCTTTTGCTGATGCGCAGGGATGCACAGAGCTTATGAAGGTGGCTCACAACTACACTATGGTAAGACAGTATTAGAATATCTAAATTGTGATCACGTGAATCTTTTTATCTTCTGTAAGTAAAAATATCTTGCTAATTTTGGGCTTGAAGTTCTTCCGTACTTGCCTCATACTTTGTTTTACAAGCAGCCCTTTTGAAACCCCTCTCAACTGTCTTTTAATTATGAGAACTTGCTTTCTGTAATGAGTGCATTATATATTGAGACAGAAAAGCATATGACTTAAGTTTGTATTCATATACAGTTGATAACAGTAAGTAGTGTCTGTAAGTCACTTTAAAAAAAAAAAAAAAAATCACTGTTCCTTTTGTTTTAGTTTAGGGAAGATTTGCAATATCAAGTTCCTTTTTTTTTCCTCACCCAGTCTGCCTCCTTTTATTGTTTTTTGCAGTAGCTTAAGATAGACTTGAACACAGAATTGTACAAACAGAAGTTCAGTATGAACTTTGTCTGACAATGTTTTAGTTTTTTTTTTCAGTTACACCTAGTAGAACTTGTAAGACATAAAAATTAATCAGAATCAATGGAGCAAAAAATGTTACTTATTCAGCAAGTAAATTATATCCATAGCTATTTAATTCTGCATCATTTGTCAAAATTAAAAAAAAAACATCTGACTCATGAATTAAGCTTACATAAAGAATAGATTACCTATCATTTCTGAGAAATAATGGCCCCTTAAGGTCTATACTGAAATTATTATTAAAGTAATGCAGCAGATTTTAGCAAGTCTTCTTCACTTGCCCAGCAGTTACATCTTTATTTTGCTTAACTAATATCACATTGTAGTTCATGGGTGTACAATCAATGAATATACAGATGATATAGTACATCCAAAAACTTGGCTTGAGTAGTTATTATACCAGAGCAGAAAAGAAAGATACTCACCCTATCCTAGGCTCACTTACAAAACTCTAGCACAGCAGATCTCCAGAAGAGATACATTCCTCCTGCTAGTCAGCTCTTAAATGGGTCTAGGAGAGGTGGAGCCAGGCTCCACCCCTTCCAGCAGCACAGGTGAATTGCCTTCACCTGTGCTCCGTGGCTGACTCATTGCTCGCCTCAGGTGATCAATCAGAGGTTCAGGCTGTGATTCAGCAGTTCCCATACAATGGGTTTAACTGTCTTTTTTCTTCTCAGTATATTTGTGTATTATATTGGTGTTTTATTATTATTATTGTGGAATGCAAACAATGTGATGAGCAATGAAAAAAAAACAACTAAAAAATAGGGGAAGATTTTGGTTTTTAAAATGTTTTCATGATTCTTTACAATCATTTTTAAATTTTCTGGGGTTGAATAACAGTTTGAAATTAAACACTGTAGTACGCTTGAAGACTGGCAACTGAAACATAGCTGATGAATAACAAATATCTGTGCCAATGTCCAAAATATTAGGTATATTCTAAAGTATAGCTTTAATGCTCGGATTTAAATTCTGAATTATGTGCAATAGGAAAATTGCTAACAAAAGATGATAGATAAGAAAGGAAGTCAGTTGTAATTTATATATAAACTCAAAGGTAACTGCAATTACACTTTCAAGCATGCATGACAGTCATACTTCATCTTTTCAAGAATGACAAAAATGCACAACTGTTCAGTTATGATATAGCAATATTTATTCTGTGTGTCATTGAACTTGCAACTCACTAAAATTATTGTCATAAAAGTCTATCCTAACGGCATGATATTTGCATAGGCATGGTGTTATTACATTTAGCGAGTTCACATGGGAACAGACTCTTTAACAGGCTCTGTTGAGATAGGATAAGGGGAAATAATGTCAAACTAAAAGAGGAAAAATTTAGAATGTAAGGAAGATTTTTTACATTAAGGATGGTGAGGCACTGAAACAAGTTGCCAGAGAGGTGGTGGGTGCCCTGTCATTGAAGATATTCAAGGACAGGCTGGAAGGGGCTCTGACCAACCTGTTGTAGCTGTATATGTCCGTGTTCATTACGGGGGAACTGATCTTTAAGAATCTCTTTCAACTCAAGCAATTCTGTGGTTCTATGATATCTGTTTTAATTAATAATTTCTTTTAAAGCATGTGAATGAGGAATTTGGTGTGGGGTATTACTGCCTGCTTTGACCGCAGCACTCTAAATCAGATTGACTCTACATAAGTGAAAAAAAGATTATTTTACACTCACACATAACCAGGAAGAATTTCCAGAGTGCTGAGTAGATGCACTGGGACAGGTGGATGGAAGATCAGAAAACAGTGTCAACATTTTACAGGCTGACCCAGTTCTGTGACCAGTGGGGCAGAGGGATTTTGCAAAATCCGCGCCTCTGGAAAAAGGGAACAGGGGACCCCAAAATAATTAAAAATAGCAGCAACAATCTGAGGAGAAACAAACTAATTTACTAAATATAGTATTGGAATGCAAGATAACACACTATAATACAATGTAATCAGAATTGAAGCTAATAAATCAAATATAATGAGAGAGAGAATGTCCAAAAGGAGGATAGGCCTCACCGTAACGCTGAAGTGAGATGCGCAGTCCAGTTGAGCAGCAGGGAGACAAGAGGAGAGCTGACGAAGAAGAGCAGATGAAAAAAGAGAGCATCAGGTGACCTTGCCAGGAGTTATATCTGCTCTCTGTGACCGCAAAGTCCCCTGGGGAATGTAGTTCTTCTCTTCTGTACAGGTACCCAGAACTTGAGCATTAACAGTTAAACTCCCAGTGCCCCACATGATGTTATGATGTGGAATACCGAAAACCAAGAATCACAAAACCATGACAAACAGAAACTTTCTGATGTGAATAAGGAGCAAGGAAGTGGCGAGCAAAGAGTGGGTGCATAGTCACTGAGGTGACAAAAAAACACATTTTTCCTGCAGACTCCAAGGAAATAGTATGGACTTTAATGAGAACAGTTCTGAGAGTATGGTAAGGGTAGAGTTGTCAATAAACTCATTCTGTCTTATGCAGTGCATTTTAGAAGAAGCTCTCTTTTAAAAAAAGTATGAGTCAACCCTTGTTTGTTTGTTTGTTTGTTTTTAAAAAAGGCTGTTGTGCTCTCGTGAGAACTTAAAAGCCCTGTCTTTGCAGTCTTTTCAAGGTGTTTTCCTTAAGTTTGCACATTGTGGCTTTGTAGTAACATATCCTGCCAGTTGGCATGTAGAAATTTACATTTCTCTGAAAGCTGTATAAAGTAAACAGATTAAGAAGCTTCTGGAATGAAGGCTGAATGAATGATGGATTAATGAATGAAGATTTCAAATTTTGTGTTTCTGCTTTGTAAGGAAAAACAATTTTTCTCTACAAAAACACGAGATAAAGTGAATTTTTCTTAGCCAATTGTCTAAAATATTTACTTAAATTATTTCTCATATAAATAGTGGAAGTGTTAGAACATCAGTGTCTCTGATAGATTCATAAGGAGAAAATTTGTGAACAAAAGGGAGGAAAACATTGAATAGCATTTCAATTCTAAGGGCTTTAAAAAGTTAAATAATATCTCTTCACAGAATCACAGAATCACAGAATCACAAGGTTGGAAACGACCTGCAAGATCATCCAGTCCAACCACCATCTTTTTACTTTTTCTTCAGTTTTTAGAAATAGTGACTTCCTTTCTGGATATTCAACATTAAAAGCTATTGTTAAAACATTTTAATACTATTTTGATAAATAGGAAATAATTTCAGTGAATAGGGAATTATAACTGACAGTCTGAGTTGACAGTTCTATGAGGCTAATTTTCAAAACAAAAGATTTTTATTTTTTAATGTGGTAGAAATTACTAAGTGAAGAAAAGTAGGTATTTGTGTGCCCAAAGTAAAGAAAAAATGACTGAGATGATATACCTTTTGCCTTCTTTACATTTAAAAAGATATTTACACTACAAGCAGGAAATTATTTTTTAGCTCATCATTTCTGTCTTTTATATAGCCAATAGTAATCAAATCAAATATTTTTTTACTGAGCTTGTGATATTTCTGTACAAAAAATGCAGTTAGACATGACTGGAAATAGGGATAGAAAAAAGTTCATCTCTTTAGCTCTCAACCTCTAACTGAGATAATTTAAGGTACTTGAACCTTAGCATTACTCCCTTACACTGTATCATTCCTTACAAACATCATAACGTTTTCATCCACCAATCAGATTTGTTTATAAAGTCATTCTTTATCATAGTTTTCTTCACAATAGCATTTTAATGGAACTCAGTGTATTTTCATGAAAATTATCTGCTTGATTTAATCTCCATAAATTCTTTAATCTTACTTATTCAAAGGCAATTTACTTGACTAGTATTAGGCTTGATTATTTAATAAGTTCTAAATTACACTGTAATTTTCAATTTACATATATATATATATATATATATATATAATATCAGGACTACTCCAAAAGTAATGCCTCCTATTTCAAGGCAAAGCTGGATGTGGCTCTGGGCAGAAAGGCCTGGTCTAGTGGTTGATGACCCTGCCCATGGCATGGGGGGCTGAAACTAGATGATCTCTGAGGTCCTTTTCAACCCAGGCCCTTCTATGATTCTATGATATGATTCTATGTTAGTATGTTGGCACATAACATCAACACAGTGTGGTGGCAGCAGAGGCTGAACCTTCCTGTGAATATTCCCTTATATTTTGTTGCTGTGCAACAGATGGCAGCAGAGAGGCAGTCTGACAAAATGGTGTCTGCAATGAAAGTGGATATGAATCAAAGGGTGGATGAAATTCAACTCTATGTGAAAAAATGTGTACCCTTTGACATTCATCCACACTTTCTGAACAGAGATCAAGCAGCGAATGTGAGCACAGTGAGCTGGTGGGTGGTATGCTGCAGCAGTGGTGACAGTGACATGAAATACAGGCCATCTTCCAAATGGCGTTGCAGATTTTTATGAACATGGAATGCAGGTTCTTTTTAATCACTAGGAAAAATGCGTAGCTAATGGTGGTGACTACATTGAAAAATAGTGTTTTGTAGCTGAGAATTGGCTGTATTGATTAGCATTGTTGTGTTCTTTGCATTTC